ATTGTGGTGCTTAGTGTGTGCATCATAATTGTACATCACAAAGATTCTATATGTCACACCCCCGAACCAGACGGCGAAAACGTCCGAGGGCTCGCGTGACTTAAATTGAAATATCATCACAATGAATATACATGAAACATAACACATTCATCACCAAACATTACATAGTACAACTGGCATTGTTTACATCAAGTACATGATTTACATTACATGATCCCAAAATATAAAGTGTTTGATGATTAGCAACTACAAAAGAAACTTTCAACACACTGGATGCTTCCTCGTTCTAACGATTACCTGAGAATACAAGTTATTTTGAAAACGGTCAACATATATAATGTTGGTGAGTTCATAAGTATGTTTGATGTAAAATAGTTTATGTCGTTCGTAAAACCCAGAAAATCCGATATTTTCTGTAATAAGACTTTTCATGAAAATGTTGTGATGATCCTGTAAGTATATGCGTGAATGATTTCAAAACGTGTATAAATGAGAAGTTTTGCATTATAGTTTTTGAAAGTACAAGTGAGTAAGATTGGTTTCCCCGGAAAACCCGATGTTTTCGATAAAATATATGATTGTTTTGTATTATTGTATCGTCACAGCGAATGAATATGATTTCCCATGATTACTTAGATGGTATTGGATCTCTATGTGAGTCGTTATAACCATGCATGATAATGACTAGTTCGTCTGTCTTGACATTCTAATGAACACCAGAATTGATCTTAAGATTTTGTCACCCTAGACTGGCCGAGTCTAATTGTAGCGAACAACTTAGGTGTGGGGGAGTCACCCCCGTATAGATCTATACACAAACTCTCGCTCTCCCTCCAGGAGACTTTGATTACAACTACAGACTACGACCGACACTTATTGGTGTCGCCCGTTATTACTCACTTAATCCAAATGAATTTGATTAACCTTGATTAATGACCTGATTTTAGTTTACTTGAAGAGAAGGTAAGCCTAACAGACGAGGAGAAGAGGACTACTAGGCCCTACTAATTACGTATGTTATTGAAGGCTGTCGAGTATACGAAAGGCGCGTTGGCCCATTTCGCATAAGATTCATTTGGACCTTACTAGTAATGCTAATGGGCCACTGAGGCCCAATAGCATGTAAAAGCCATTGAGGGTCCCTTAAGCATGTAATTGAGTCACAAGAGGCCCAATAACATGTATTATTTATGTTGGGCCCAAAAGTCAAGTTAATGGGTCACGAAGGCCCAATAAGCATGATTAGAATCTTTCAAGCCCAACAATTAGAATGTTTACTTGTTTTGTATAGTATTAGTGTTGCGAAGTTGCTTAATCGATATGTCGTAATAATCACCAATTTGTTTTATAACGATTCATAGATTTATAAAAATAATTATTTTTCTATTTAAAACCCATAAGTTATAAAGTTTTGTATATTTTGACCCAATTATTTTATTATTAACATAATTGACTTAAAATATTAGTTTGACCAATTCAGCCCCTTATTTTGGTAAAGTTGGCAATTTTTAGCCCTTTTTATGAAAAATGACATATTAGGTCATTGAACTATTTTTCTTGACATTTTTGACCTAAACACTTAATTAAATGATGTTTTAAGCCCCAAATTTTTATTTAGGACAGTTTCAGCCCCTTAGTTAAAAGATTTGCATTTAAATCCACACTTTTCGCAATTTTTACAATTTTTACCCAAAATCCAAAATCTTTGCATTTTTAGTCCCTTTTGATAAATAAGGCCATTTTAACCCCTGAAATAGGTTTATATACGTTTATAGCCCCTGTTTTGAGAAAACTTTCCATTTCAGCCCCTTAAATTTGATTTTTCGCATTTTTGGGCCTAAATAGCCGAAAAGCCCAAATTTTAGCCCATTAGGCTAAAATTTACATTTTTAGTCATTTAAAAAGCCTAATATTTATAAAAACTCTTATTTTAGCTGTTTTGACCTTTTGATCCTTGTAGAAACCGTGAATGACATCTTTTTCCCCATCTTTTGTTTATTTATCAAAAATGGTCCGATAACAAATTTTATGTTGTAGTGTGTTTATTTTAAAGCTTGTATAGTAGTTTATCTTGACATGTTAAGTGAGATATGACCTAGATCACATATTTTTCCTTCTTGAACTATAGATCTCGAAATATCTTTCATTTTTAGCACATATTTACCACAAAAACACAAGAAATCACACATAACATACAAATACACATAGATATTCACATTTTACTTGTATTCTCCCCCATACATCATATGAAAACCGAAAATAGAGGGGTATGAACTCACCTTAGGTTTGTGGGTTCGGTTTTGAAGAAAGAAATGGAAGAGTTTGGTCCTAGCAACTTCCTTGAGTAGATCTCAAACTCAAGAAGATTTCTAAGAGTATAAACACCAAAAACTTTATGTAAAGGAATGATCTAACAAGAGAGTGAAGTTATGAAGCTTGGATGTGTAATGACTTACCAAAGATTGACAACACTTGATGAAGACTCTTGAATTCCAAGCCAAATTTTCGAGAATTCCTTGAAGGAAGGAAGGAGATGGCCTTAGAGAGAAATGGAGAGAATTTTTATGTAGTGTGTGTGTGTGTTGTGTGTCTTCGGCCGAAACAAGAAGATGGGAGAGGGGAGAGAGTGAGATGAGTTGACATGCATGGAAACATGAGAATGGTGCATGGATACCCTATGTATATTTATGAGGTGGCACTACAATTGTCAACCCTCATTTATCCACTCTTTATATATATATATATATATATATATATATATATATATATATATATATTTTTTTTTTTACTTGGGCCGAAATGGGCTAAGGAAGGAGGAAGGAATCACTTTGGCCCACTCTTGCCTTGGCTCGAGTTCATGAGGCCCATAAGGAAAACTTACGGCCCATTGGGCCCTTAGGGTAGCTCACGACCCAATTTTTGTATAAGAGAATGGATTTGAGTCCATTAAAGCTAATTGGATTAGTTATGGCCCAATAAGGCCCATTAAAGATAAACTAGTCCATTTTAGGCTTATAAGGCCCAAAAAGGTTAAGTCTTATGAGAGTGGGTCCAATGAGATCCCATTTAAGAGTTCTAAGCCCAAAATAGTCAAATTGGAAGCTTATTGGCCCATTAGGCCCAATAAGGAAACCCTAGTCCATATAGGACTTAAACCGGGATTTCTAGGGTTTTTCAACTTTACTTGATGAATCTAGGTTTGAATGTGTTTTCATAGGTTGAACTTCAAGCATAACATGAATTTGGGTTACGAGTTTACAGTAGATAATGTTTACAAGAGTACAAAATTTCCTAGCTAGAATGCTAGTTGTGACACTATAGCATGAGAATGTTTGATTTAACCGTATTTCCTGTTCTTGTCTGATTAAGGGCTTAGGGTAGCGTCAAGTATTCGACTATCTATGGGATCCAACATTATGTATGATTAGTATGCACGAGTGGCTGTAGGTTTGGTGAAAGTTTCATGAGTGAGTGCAGTTCATAGCAGGATATCATAAGGAATGATTAGCCACTCTTGAGAGAGTGAGGACAGGGCGAATGTGTAACCGAGATGCTTGGGTCTAGAGATCGAGAATTATGTATGAGGATCTGCCTGATTTTACTGTGTCTTAGTGCCAGTCGACTCCATTGCTCGAATGTTGCTTGCTTTGTGCTTTGTGGGACTTACATTGATGTGAGCTAACTATAAAATGAATACATTAAATTACATGCTATGAAGGTTAAATAATCTTAGAGTGAAGGATTTGACTCTATTGCGCAACTCTCGTTTGAGTCTAACCGTTGTAGGGTTGGGTCTTTTAGTCGAAAGATTATTTAAGTTCTGTTGCATGTAATTGTATTAATGAAGTGGTTAGCTGACATTGATTGGGGTCCTTCAAGCTTAGGAAATGCTTTAGTGCGGATATTACGCTGTTGAGCAAGAATACTCAGGATGATTCTTAAGGAAATTATGGATCGGTGTGGAAGGTAGTATTGGACCCGTACTACTGGAAGCACATTATCCATACTTGAATTGAGAGAAATTTCAGGGATTTTAAGGGCTAGTTGGGGAAGATAGCATGGTTTGATACCATGGTTCGTGACAGTGGTTTCGTCTAGTTCTTGTTCCAAAGAACAACACACATTCCAAAAGTCAAACCTATTTTAGAACCTATTTAGGATTTTTACATATGACCGATTTTAGAACATATTTCATTTTGATTTCGATTTAGGTTTTTCATATGTGTGTGTTCATGTTTAAGAACCACTCTCTTCCATGTTCCAACAAACAATTTTATGGAAAATTGAGTGTTCATTAGTTTGTGTGTGTTTGATGGAAACAATTTAAGGTTTTCGGTTTTGTGGCTTTGTGTGTGTTTGTGTTTTGATTTAGGGTTTTCAGTTTGTGGTGGGTTTCATTATAAAACAAATGTAGAATCTTATAAATGTGTTCTTCGTTATCTGTTGTTCTTTGTTTCAGATTTGCCTAGAATCAAGATTTCATGTTTTTCGTTCTTCCTTCCTCGTACCAAATATGCTCAAAATGCTCTTTAGATATAAGTTTGGTCTTGAGGGATCATCCTTGACATATTCAAAAAATCTCCATGAACACAAAGGGCACATGTGTGTACGCTGATGTGTAATGTTCATACATAACATATTTGAAAATTTACTATTTTCTTAAGAACGTGATTTTCACATGCAACATGGGTTTGTTTTCGAGTTTTGGTTTCTTCAAAAACAATCATACACACACTCACACAAGAACACCAACAGATCTAAAAAACTTCGTTAGAAATGATTGTCGAAGGCTCGTAGGAACTACGTAAAACGGCTAAACCTATAATTACCGGAAAAAATTATATTTTTTGAAAACAATAAACAAATTTAATAGCAATACAAATAACAAAAATATATAAACGGTATAAAATTCATAAGATACGTCTTTTAACCCAAAATATATTCTTTTAGAAATATACGTTGTTTATCCATTAAACAATTTATTCCAGAACTTTTGAATCGTGAAAAATAAAAACGAATAGTCCTTAATCCCCTTTCGCGTTTCACTACCAGACAAAAAGAAGGGCTGTAGCTGTAGCACACATGTACCCACCGATAGCTACCCGTTTGAACAGTCCGTCGGGTTTCTCTTCACTTATCTCCCTACTTTGTCCTCAATAATCCCTACAACTCCATGCTTACTAGGCTGGTTATGGCTGCCGATGCATTAATTACACACCATTAATGAAGAAGGACACTGCAAATGGACTACGAGAAGATAACCAAAAGCCCACCACAGGTCTGTCAGTATCTAACTTCACACTTACATCTCCATCACCATTTCCATCACCCGTTTGTTGTTGCAGTTTACCCTTTTCTTCAATCTAATCAAAACTCAAAACCCCACTGTTGTTTTCACTTTTTGATTGATTTTCCTCTCTTGCACCTCATTCAGCTGACCCCATTCATCCTATTTTGGTCTCTGCCAGATCTGTAACTTTTTCCCATCATTACAAGTTTTTTTGTTTCCGAAATCGAAGTCTCCTTTGTGTTGAATATGTGATTTTGATTTGGATTCGGTTTATTTTCTTAGGGAAGTGGGGGAGGAGGTCTGTCTCCTGCGAAGTTGAGGAATATGTTGAAGAAAAAGAAGAAACAAGGGGAAGATGAACTCGAGTCAAGTACTTTCTCTTTGGGATCTCAAACTTCTGAGATTGACGACTCTGGTATTTCACATTTCATAAGATTTCACTTCTTACTTATTGTTGGAACACTTGTGATTTATTGTTTGGTTTGTATGCGATTTATTTAGGTGATTGTTTAGAGAATTACAAAGATGTTGATGTTGTAAGTGTACTTCCGGATCATACGCCTGATACATTGTTACCAGAACCTGATAACGACGACAGATCGAAGGATCATGATGGTGATTTGGACTACGAGAGCGGGATCGATAAGGTAAATGTATCAGTACCAGTATCATTATCACCCTTCGAGTTTCAGAAATCCGAACGTTCCTCACATAGAAAGAAGCCTTTAGCTCCATTCTCCAAAGCGCCACCATCAAAATGGGACGACGCCCAGAAATGGATAGCTAGCCCTACATCTACCCGTCCAAAAAACGATTCAAAGAAAAACACTCATGTCAACCATGGAAACCGGCAACCAATCACGAAGGTGGTGGTGGAAGTTCCAGTTCCAGTTCAAGTTCCCGTTCCCGATCAAAGATTAATCCCTCCTTACGAAGAGCCTGACACCAAACAGATGGATTCGTATAGCAGCAAATCTGTACTCATGATTGAAGACACCGCAGCAGTTAATTTAAGTCGCCATGATTCTTCTGTATCGATCCAGAACACAACGTTTGTCCCTCCTCCTTCAACAGCAAGATCTGTATCAATGAGAGACATGGGGACTGAAATGACTCCGATTGCTAGCCAAGAGCCATCAAGAACAGGGACACCTGTAAGGGCCACGACTCCTAGTAGGAGTCCAAGTTCTTCACGACCTGCAACTCCAGAAAGAATCACCAATCCTTCAAATCTAGGGTTGGAAGGTGGTAGTAACAGAGAGTTATCTGAAAAGGAGTTGCAGATAAAAACTAGAAGAGAGATAAAGGCTCTTGGAACTCAGTTGGGGAAGACGAATATTGCTGCTTGGGCTAGCAAGGAAGAAGAAGATAAAGATGCATCTTCTTCTTTGAAAGTTTTGGCATCTGAAAAATCGGGTAAAACTGCTATTGAGATGCGTGCAGCTGCTTGGGAAGATGCTGAGAAAGCCAAGTATATGGCTAGGTAATGATGAGGTTATTTACGTCTTTTGCCACACAAACTATCCAATGCATACAAAAGGGTAACTTTTTTTTTTTCTTCAAAATGTAGCATGTTTTTAACTGAATGATTTATGGGTTTAGGTTCAAACGTGAAGAGGTAAAGATAGAGGCATGGGAAAACCATCAAAAAGCAAAGACTGAAGCTGAAATGAGGAGAATTGAGGTATGTGACAGTTTAATCTTTTTGTTTTATCTAATATCTATAGGGGTAAATTGGTCAAACTTGGTTGAAAAGTATGTTTAGTTGTTTACAATAAGAGCACATATGGTTCAAAAGGTTTAACTTTTCGTTTGGGTTGTAAATGTATCCAAAGAATTACATCATATTTTAAAATGACCAAAATACCCATTATTGATTTCTTTGTTGTTTCAAGAAAATGACAAAAGTACCCTTTACTTACAGGTAGAGGTAGAGCGGATGAGAGGTGGAGCACATGATCGATTGATGAATAAATTAGCAGCTGCAAGACACAAAGCTGAAGAGAAACGGGCTGCAGCAGAGGCTAAGAGAAACAGGGAAGCTGCAAGAGCAGAAGAACAAGCAGGGTATATTCGTAAAACTGGTCGAATACCATCTTCATTCTCATGTTATAGATGCTGCTTTTAAAGTTTTAAGTTAAAAATTCTTTTGTTAGGAAACTCTGTGTCTGATGGTTTTGTTGTAATCCAAAGATCTTTATTATATAGATGCCACGTTGTATAATCCATTCATGTTTCTTTATCTTTATATGTTAGTAAACTGAAATGTGAATCAAGATCATGTATAACAGGTATTTTGATCTATGATTTAGTAGGTTTTGTATATTAAAATTTGGATGAAAACAAAGATTTTGACCTTCTAACTGAAAAAGTCAAGAAAGTATGTATTCAATGTAAATGATGGGATAATCAGTAAAGAAATGTCATTAAAAGATTATGGAATGGTTTTATGACATTAAATCAAATGAGGCTTGAATCAAGTTTTTAATGATAAAAACGTTGAAAATGTTAAAAACGTGAAGTTGGATACAAGGCAAAATATTACCGTTAGATTAGTAGGTTACTAAAAGGTTAAAGTCTTTTGAAAAAAGTGTGATTTTTTTGGGTATTTCTCTTTATATAACAGAACTGAAAAAGTAAGGAGCATAGGACAACAGGCGTGGTGATACCTCTTTAGAGAATAATTGACAAAAAGTTTTGTAATGGGTGGAAAAAGTTTTATGCATGAACATTAAGTTACAAAAACAATTGAAATATATGTAAAGGCTAATTTTATATTTACTTTTAATTGCTTCGTATACCCTGTGAGTTGGTGAATGTATATGTATCTCTATGATTTGATAATTTTTGTGAGTGAATTGTACTATCATATATAAATTACAATATATAAATTGAAAAGAAAAAGAAAGGCAACTATAAAGACAGTTTTTGAATTTTTGGTTTACATGAAGTCTTGGATTTATTCCCTCTGAGAGGCAATGTAAAATATATTGTTTTTTAAAAGCTTTGTTTTTTCACATATCATACATCGGATGAATGTTGGAAATTGGAAATGAAAAAATCACACGAGGAGTAGCAATACTTACAAAATGAAAGGATGATGCTATGCGAATAGGTACCACTCGATTATCCTAAAAGTTCTGTCACCTAAGCACCACCTCAACACCATTTTGCCACAATTTACCTAAGAAAATACCTATCACTATTAACCCAAACCACTCTTAAAATTAATAAAAAATTGAGAGAGAGAGGACATAAAAAGCCGTTACTATCATCACCCATAGCCAAACGCGTGCTTTGGGGGTGGTGTTCTATGCCGCCACACACACTTTAAGTCAGCACCACACACATGTGTGTGTGGTGCCCATGCGGTCATCTATCAATGTCATTTTAACTCTCTAGCCACAAAGAAACAAATAAACGAATAAAGGCTTAATCATTGATATAGTTGAGGCCTAAGGTGCTGTTTGGTTCGCAAAATGTTTCTAAAGAAGTTGGAATTGAAATTGAAAAAGGAATTGATTAGAAATTTGAATCTAATTCCATATCCTACTTGGTTGACAAGAAATGAAATTATAATTAATTCCAGATGATGTTTGATTCGTAGGAAATGGAATTGGAATCCATGTAAAATAACAAAATTATCATTTTTTATGTTTTGCTTAGTTTTAGTGTATTTTCTAACTTATATGTAAAGATACATTATATAAGTTATAAAATAGTAAAATCTTGGCAGTGGCGACGGTAACAGTGGTTGTGGCAGTGGTGAGAGTGGTGGTGATGGCGGGCGACAATAGAGATGTTGGGTGATGGTAGTGGTGGTGGCGGCGACGATAATGGTAGTGGTAACGGCGGTGATGGTGGCAATAATGACCGGTGGCGGTGGTGACAATAATGGCTGGTGGCGACGGTGGTAGGTGGTGGTGGCAGTGGCAGTTGGTGGTTGGTAGCAGTAGTGGTGGGTGTTGGTTTTCTGATAAGTAAAATAGGTAGTTTTGTAATCTACCACTTTCCTTAATGAGAATGAATGTTTTCCATCCAACTATGGAAATAATCTACTTTCTTCCATATAGTGGAAAATTTATTTCATTTAAGAATCATTTTCCCCCTCTAAGTCCAACCAAACGTCCGAATTCGAGGGAACTAGAATAATTTTCTATCGAATTTCATTCATTTCCTGCCAACAAACGTGCCCAAAGTGTTTTTTAGTTAACAATGTTGACTGTGATTTTTTAGTTTTCGAAAGTTGACTTTTACACAAACTTTTTTCATTTTTTGTTGACTTCCGAAGGTGGTTGTAGGGGAGATGTGAGGTGATTTGAAGAAAAGGGAGAAGGCGACGAAGGGGATGGGTGTATGGTAATGGGATATGCTTCTATTCATTATCGGTGGGAGATTGAGATTGAGAATACGATCGGGATAGATGACTCTATGTTATGGAATAAATCCTAAATAAAATGGATCTTATAAAAACAAGAGCAACAACACATACTTAACAATTTTATTTTAACGATGTTAGTAGGAAAAACTTGATTCAAAAGAAGTTGAGAATGAAGTTATTAATTAGATGCGTTCATGGTATGAATCAATGTTAAAGTAGCATAAATTGGTATATGAAATGTGTGCAAACTGATAAGATGCCAATGGCGATGTATTGCTTAAATATACATTTTAACAAAATAAGATGCTATAATTAAAATTTCTTAGATATATAGGTTCATGGCTTGTGATGTGAGCTGTAGCATCATATATATATTTTTTAGTTGTAACTTGTAAAGGAGGAGGGAGTCGTTCCCTCCCAACCCACCGAACCCACTGCCACATCACTTTTTCTCTTTTAGTTTTCTTCATCTTTCCGAACCCATAACACACGGAAATCCTATCTTTTTGAACCCACTCAATTAAAAAAAATACAAAACAATTAAGATACAAGTTTTAAAACGCATCGTACAAGAGAAAATAAGAAAGAGAAAGTAGAGAGAGATGATGAAGTGGGTTAGGGAGGAAGGAGTCATTCCCTTCCAACCCACTGAACCCACTGCCACACCAATTTTTCTCTTTTATTTTTCTTCATCTTTCCGAACCCACAACACACGGAAATCCTATCTTTTTGAACCCACTCAATTAAAAAAAAATACAAAACAATCAAATGTAAAATCTTAATTAGCAATAGAGTTATCGGCGGTACCACCCCCCCTTCAACGAGTGAGTTGATTGGTTTCACTAACCCACTTCATCATCTCTCTCTACTTTCTCTTTCTTATTTTCTGTTGTACCATGTGTTTTAAAACTTGTACCTTAGTTGTTTTGTATTTTTTTTTAATTGAGTGGGTTCAAAAAGATAGGATTTCCGTCTATTGTGGGTTGGGAAAAATGAAGAAAAAGAAGAGACAAAAATTGATGTGGCAGTGAGTTCGGTGGGTTGGGAGGGAACGACTCCCTCCTCCCTTAGTGAAATCAATCAACCCACTCGTTGAAGCGGGAGTGGTACCGCCGATAACTCTATTGCTAATTAAGATTTTACATTTGATTGTTTTGTATTTTTTTTTAATTGAGTGGGTTGAGTGGGTTCAAAAAGATATGATTTCCGTTTGTTGTGGGTTCGGAAAGATGAAGAAAAACAAAAGAGAAAAAGTGATGTGACAATGGGTTCAGTAGGTTGGGAGGGAATGACTCCCTCCTCCCTAAGTGCAACTTATATAGATTTATGCTACCCATAATCTATCAATTTAAAAAACTCAAAAATCTCCACAATAAATGAGTTTTTCATCAACTTATCTATAAGAATCACTTGTATCATTTATTGTATAAGTTGGCTATTTAATCACTGTTTAAAAATCTATGAGATCCACTATAATATTTGAAAAAGCCAACGTAACGAACTTGTAAAATTTCAAGCTTTGTTGAAAATTTTTAAGTGAAAAAACTTGTTTTTTATAGCTTTTTTTTCAAAATAATAATAATAATGATTAAAAAACTTATATTATGAATGATTTTTTAATATAACATTTTTATAACAAGATAGATGATAGATTTGGTAAAACAAGATAACTTTATTACATAAATATATATGTTTTACCCTAAAAATAATAAATTCTAACAAAATCAAGGGAATTCGATGATTAACCAAAGGCTTAAGCCAATAGCAAATAGCTCATCCCTAAAAATATAATGAAGATTGAAGGGAAAGGAGCAGGAAGCAAGACTCTCCCTTCCTCATCGCCTTAAAATCCTTGAGCTCTGTTTCTTCTTTCTCTTTTCAGGGTTTCATTCCTCTCTCTTCAACCTTCCGTTTCTCTTTGCAGATGGAAGATTAGATCCACTCTTGTTACAACCATATCTGCAATAGTGGATTGAGCTCGCTGCCTTGGCAAACCCTAGATCCAATTATTCAAATTACCCAAGATCCCCTCTCTTTTATTTGAATTTCAATTAGAACCCCAACCATGGTTGGCGCTACTACTCATCAACAACAACAACACCAAGCTCCTCAATTGGCTCCCCCGTCATCGTCATCATCATCGGCAGCTCCGACAACTTCACCAGAGGAAGACGAGTTCTTGAAAAGAAACACCGATTGCGTTTACTTCCTTGCATCTCCCTTAACCTGCAAAAAGGTATTTTTATTGTTTTTTCAATTCACATCATTGCTAGCTAAATTGTGAGGTTTTGTTTGCTCCATCTATCGGATTAGATCTTCTTTATTTATTTATTTATTTATTTATATTGTAACTCGGTATGCTAATTTGTGGATCTTGAAATTATCGTTATCTGGTTCGAATTTTATTCTTCTTTTTTTAGCGTTGGATCTTGATTTCGAGCTAATCAAAGTTTTGAGTCTTCTCTTTGAAGTTGCGATGGGATGACGATTGATCACTATCTACCTTTCAGCAAGTTCATACCTTTTCGTACAAACTAAAAACATTTGTCACATCAATTGATAGTCGTTAACAAATAACAACCCATTTAGAAGAAGGACGTGTTTGATGCTTGCTTGTTTCATTCAGTAATCAGTAAATCAGTAATCAGTACATTGTTATCATCTGTTGATAGTGTGATATGTATTTTCTTTCTACAGGGAAGTGAGTGTGAGTATCGCCATAGTGACATTGCAAGAGTCAACCCCAGGGATTGCTGGTATTGGTTAAACGGAAACTGCTTAAATCCAAAATGTGCTTTTCGTCATCCTGTAAGTATCTTCGTTCTTTTTCTTCATCAATACTAATATAATCATCAATACTAATATAATCATATAACTTTA